CAGAGCTAACCTTAAGAAATGGGGCTACAAAGTGGAGTCCACGACATGCGAGTGCGGAGAAGAGCAAGCCACAGACCACGGACTACAATGCGGTCTGAGCCCTGCCACATGCACAATGGGGACCTTCTCACAGCGACACCAGAGGCACTTCCAAGTGGTCAAAGGACATTTAGCATAGTGCCAAGTTTTTAAAGCTTTTGTTTGTGTTTTTTAAATGAATTTTAATTGTATCCTCAACTCGCTTATGGCATGATAAATAAAATAATAAATATTAGTCTTTAAATTGTATGTGTGGTTTGGTTTTTCCCTTCTCTTCTATCCCGAAAACCCTTTTTACAGGAATGCTGCTTGGCTGAAAAGAATAAAGCAGAGACTGCAAAGATAAGAATCCATTGCTACCAGTATATCCCAGTGAGATCTGTCCATGGCATAAGAACTGATAGCTAAGAGCATTGGCTTTCACTGGCATAGCTCAGATATCAAAATCTAATGAAGCCCCTTCCACACTGCCCTATATCCCAGGATTGGATCCCAGATTATCTTCTTATCCCAGGTTATCTGGCAGTGGAGACTCACACAATCCAGCTTAAAGTAGATTGACTTTGTAAGGTCTCCACCACATTCCAGGGCAACATGTTCCACAGCCAAAGAGCTCTTACTATGAGACTAGTCTTCCCCAACCTTGTTGTTCTCCAACTATGTTGAACTATAACTCATATAATCTCCAGCCAACATTTACCATACAGACTAGGATAATGGCAGTGTGGTCTAGATGGAGAAGGTGGTGTAAACTTTCTCTTTCACCTTCCGTACCCCTCGCATTGTGTTTTGTTTTCCCCAGAACATATTCTCAGTGAAATACTAATCAGAAATGGATTTTTTCTATACAGTTTAACCTTGCAGGGGGGAAATCAACCTCTACATACTTTGACAGATCAGCAGGACCTCTCATGCCAAGGAAGGAGAAATACTCATTAGGTATAAAGGATTTTGTCTTGGAACCGGAAAGCTGTAGTCCTGTGGTGCTTGTGCCATCTAAGATACACGATGTAATGAGTGGGAAAGGAGAAATGCATCGAAGGTAACAAACCATCTTCTGAAAATTAATGAGATATTATCGTTTCCCAGCCAGGGCTGGATACAAATGTTCAGAACTTCAGAGGACAAGAAGTGACAGCCGTGGGACCAGTGCCCAGGGACAACAAGTCCATGAGCGGCACAGCAGAGGATACAAAGAAGACAAAGCTTGGCAATGCAACTTCCTATTGTCAGTTATTAACAATACAGTTCAGAGCCAGCCAGACGCAGATACTCATTTCCTCTTGAACCTTAGCTCCATACCTCTGAGGGCAAGACCAGAACATGGGAATAATGACCTTCTTTGCCCATCTGCATTTAGAATAAACTGAGATAAGAAAAAAGAAGTATATCAATGTGCAACACTAATGGGCCTCATCCAGAATATTTTGCTTCCAGGGTCAAGAAAACATATTCAACTCTCCCTGTTTTCCACTCTTTTAGAAAAGCTGAGGCTCCTTCTACACTGCCTGATAAAAATCCAGATTATATGCCTTGAACTGGATTATATGGCAGTGTAGACTCATATACTCCAGTTCAAAGCAGATAATGGGGATTATCTGCTTGGATAATCTGGACTATATGGCAGTGTAGACAGGTCTAAGGATGCATCTATATCAGGCCTGGGCAAACTTGGACCCTCCAGGTGTTTTGGACTTCAACTCCCACAATTCCTAACAGCCCCAGGCCCTTTCCTTTCCTTTCCCCCCCTCAGCCGCTTAATGGGAATTATGGGAGTCAAAGTTCAAAACACCTGGAGGTTCAGGTTGGCCTGGTATAGAAAGTCCTATAAAAGAAATTCTGGGAGTTGAAGTCCCAAACACCTAAAGAACCAAAGGTTGGGAACGACTGGCCTATCAGGTGTTTTGGGCTTTAGCTCCCAGGATCATTAGCTGAAGCGGAAGACCCTTCTGGGAGTAGAAGTCCCAAACACGTGGAGGAGGAGGGTTGAGGCTTCTCTTATGCAAGTGGTTCTCAACCTGTGGGTCCCCAGATGTTTTGGCCTTCACCTCCCAGAAATCCCAACAGCTGGTAAACTGGCTAGAACTTCTGAGAAATGAAAGCCAAAACACCTGGGGACCCACAGGTGGAGAACCACTATCTTAGGCAACCCCTCATAGCCTGAGGATGATGGCCTTCCAAGTGTAGTGTCCTGGCAGTGGGTACATAGGTGGATGTGGCGATCTATTCTTTATCCGCATGTTTTTCCGCAGTGAGGGGATTGGGTTCCAGGTGGAAGGTGGTCCCGGTCAGGGTTGGCTTGACGCACCTTCCTCTTGGCATGTTTCTCCCTTTTGCCATCCATTTGTGCCTCTGAATTCCACAGCACAGCTGGTCACAGCTGATCTCCAGTTAGAGCACTCAAGGGCCAGGGCTTCCCAGTTCTCGGTGTCTATGCCACAGTTTTTAAGGTTGGCTTTTATCCGATCTTTAAATCTCTTTTCCTGTCCACCAACATTACGTTTCCCATTCTTGAGTTGGGAATAGAGTAACTGCTTTGGGAGACGGTGATTGGACATTTGGAGAATGTGGTCAGTCCAGTAGAGTTGATGGTATAGGAGTGTCGCTTCAATGCTGGTCGTCTTTGCTTCTTCCAGCACGCTGACATTTGCCCACCTGTCTTCCCAAAAGATTTGCAGGATTTTTTTGGAGACACCGCTGATGGAATCGTTCCAGGAGTTGAGTATGACATCTGTAGACAGTGCACCTATTGCAGGCATGTAACAGGATTGGGAGGACAATAGCTTTATAAACAAGCACCTTGCTCTTCCTACGGATGTCCCTGTCCTCAAACACTCTCTGCTTCATTTGGAAAAATGCTGCACTCACAGAGCTCAGACGGTGTTGTATTTCAATGCCAATGATGAATTTTGTAGAGAGGTGGCTGCCAAGGGACGTAATCACATGGTCTCTGGCACGTGTGATTACATAGTCTAAGAGGTGCCAGTGCTTTGACCGGGGGTGCTTCCATGATGTCTTGAACTTGTTTTTCTGGCGGAAGAGCGTGTTGGTGATGACAAGGTTGTGTTCCGCACATTTGGTGAGAAGCAGGATGCCGTTTGAGTTGCTGTTTCCAACCCCGTCTTTTCCGATGGTCCCTGGCCACAGGTCGAAGTCTCGCCCGACTCTTGCATTGAAGTCCCCCAGGAGGATGATTTTGTCCTCCTTAGGTATCCCCGATAGGACGGTGTCCAGCTGACAGTAGAATTTCTCCTTGATGTCTTCATCAGCATCTAGTGTTGGTGCATAGGCACTTATGATGGTTGCCTGTTGGTTTTTGGCAAGATCAATTCGGAGGGTTGAGAGTCGTTCGTTGATGCCAGTGGGTGCTTCGGTCAGATGTTTCACCAGATCATTCCTGATAGCAAAGCCAACTCCGTGCAGTCTTTGGTCTTCTTCAGGCAGTCCCTTCCAGAAGAAGGTGTAGCCTCCTTTTTCTTCCTTCAGCTGTCCCTCTCCTGCTCTCCGGGTCTCTTGAAGGGCTGCTATGTCGATGTTAAAGCGTCCCAGCTCCCTTGCAATGATGGCAGTTCTGCGTTCAGGACGTTCGCTGTCACTGTTGTCCATCAGTGTCCGTACATTCCATGTACCGAAGTTCATTTTTCTTTTTTGGCCGCAGGGTGGTGACCCCACTGGACGCGGCAGTCCAGTCAGGGATAAGTGAGGCAGACTATGTTTAGGGCACCTTTTCTAGCCCCCTCCCCATGTGGGGTGAGCAGAGTGGGTTCTCAAAAGGGCTGCTCAGTCACGGATACAGCTGCCGAACTACTCAACTGCCTCGGTCCTTGAGGTAGAACGACTGAGTCCGTACCCACCGCCCATGTGCCAGTCTGTGACTAGGGGCTTCCAGATTTCACAGTCCTGCCCCCGTCGCCACTCGCTGATCGCCATGGGACTTTGGTTGGTTTGTTTTTATTTTCTTTGGAAGACGCCTGTGCGTGAGTTTTTTTTAATGTGTGGAGGTCAGTGCACAACTGATCAACACACAGTCTTCACAGAGTGAGGTTCCACTGGTGATGTAGTTTAACACAATGACCGTGGCTTCTCAGTCTGTTGCAGCCTTCTTCCGCCTTCACAGCCGTTGTAACATGTACCATGTTATCCTCCGCCTGCTCCGCCGTTGAGGTCTTTGGGTCTTCGGACTGTGCTTGGTCTGGGACCTCCCCCGCAGCCACTCCTGGGAGTGCACGACTCCAGTTGTTGTGCCTACAGGTTCATCGGAACACGCAAGCCCCCTCACCACGACAAGGTGACAGTCCATCGAGGGGGGCACAAAGCATCATAGCGATGAAGAAGGAGGTAGCTGCATTGTATTGTCGAAGGCTTTCATGGCCGGAATCACTGGGTTGTTGTAGGTTTTTCCGGCTATATGGCCATGTTCTGGAGGCAATTTTTCTCCTGACGTTTCGCCTGCATCTATGGCAAGCATCCTCAGAGGTAGAGGTCTGTTGGAAGTAGGAAAAATGGGTTTATATATCTGTGGAATGACCAGGGTGAGACAAAGGACTTTTGTCTGCTGGGGCTAGCTGTGAATGTTTCAGCTGATCACCTTGATTAGCATTCAATGGCTTGGAAGGGCCTGGGGGGAATCTTTTGTTGAGAGTGATTTTATGTGCCTGTTTGTTTCCCCTCTGTTGTTTTGCTGTTGTAATTTTTGAGTTTTTTTAATACTGGTAGCCAGATTTTGTTCATTTTCATGGTTTCTTCCTTTTTGTTGAAATTGTCCACATGCTTGTGGATTTCAAGGTAGCTGCATTCTAATCAGTGGCTCCCAGCTTTACTTGTTGGACCACAACTCCCAGAAGCCCCGGCCACATTTGGGCAACGGCGAGGAACTCTGGGAAATGAAGTCCGAAAAAAATGAAGCCCTACACAAAGCCTTCGCTGCCTTGCCAGCAGGTGGCGCTGCTCTTGCCTTTGTTTTGTCCCTTTCCAAAATGGCGGCGCCCATGAAGCGCTGTGTTTGAAGAGAAGGCAGGCCTGCACCACCATGAAGGCCTCTTTCTCCTCACGGGGCCGCGGAAGGCAGGCCGGGAAGCAGCTCCACAAACTGGGCCTGGCGGTGCGGGAGTTCGTGGAGGCCTCAGTCCCGGCGGGGAGCGAGAAGAACGGAAGCAGCGTCTGTGTGGGCCTTCCCAAGCAGAGGCCTCGAGGGAAGCGCCGCCAGCTGAGGCGGGAGAAGCGCCAATGGAAGAGAAAGCAACGGCGGTGGCTCCTGAACGGGGAGAAAGTGGAAGAGAAGGAAAAGAAGGCCGTTATGGAGGTGAAAAGGCCTCCCCCATCGTTGCCGCCTTCCTCAGGCAAAAAGGAGGAGAAGAAGCCGAGAAGGGAAGTTCTCCCCGCGGCGAAGGCCTCACTTGAGGCGAGGAAGAAGGCCCTGCTGGCGGCCAACGAGGCGGAGGAGAGGGAGATCCGCCGCCTGGAGAGGCAGCTGGGCCTCGGGAAGAGGAGGAAGAAGCGGCGGCAGAAGGGCCTGGAGGAGGCCGAGGCGGCGGCCTTGCCTCGCAGCTTCGCCCTGGACGGTCTGGGCTACGTCTTGGGGGCCTTCGGGCCTGGAGACGCCTTCTCCGGCCTCTACGAGAGCAGCACCGAGGAGGAGGAGGAGAGAAAAGGAGGAAGAGAGCAGGAAGGAAGAGGAGGAATGGCCGAGCAAGAGGGAGAAGAAAGTGAAGAAGAGGAGGAGGAAGATGGTGATGATGAGGAGAAAGAGGAAGAAGAGGAGGATTTGAGCATGGAAGGAGAAGCTTCAGATGAGGATGTGGAGGAGGAGGATTTGAGCATGGAGGGAGAAGCTTCAGATGGTGATGATGTGCAGAAGGAGGATTTGAGCATGGAGGGAGAAACCTCAGATGATGATGGTGATTTGGAGAAGGAGGATTTGAGCATAGAGGGAGAAGCTTCAGATGAGGAGGAGGAGGAGGAGGAGGATTTGAGCATGGAGGGAGAAGCTTCAGAAGAATCCAGTATGGAAGAAGAAAAGGACAGTGAAGATGATGGAGATGCTGCCAATGAACTTCAAAGTTCAAGAGGCAGAACTTTGGAGTCGCCCCAAGATGGCGAGGTCTGTGCAAAAGGTTTCTGTGGGTCCAATTCAAACCCTATAAAGCCCTATACCAGTGGTTCTTAACCTGTGGGTTCCCAGGTGTTTTGGCCTACAACTCCCAGAAATCCCAGACAGTTTACCAGCTGTTGGGATTTCTGGGTGTTGAAAGCCAAAATACCTGGGTATCCACAGGTTGGTTTGTTTGTTTATTAATTTTTTACTGTATTTGTATACCGTCTTTCTCAGCCAATTGGCGACTCAAGGCGAATTCCAACAAATCCAGTAAAACATAATATAGATGAAAAACATTAAACAGTATAAGACATCACAAAAGCAACAAAAACAACATCATCAGCGTCTCATTATTCTCAAGCATTGTCCAATTCCATTGTCAGGTCATTCGATTCCCTATATTAGCTACTCTGTGTTTGTAAACACTTGCTCAAATGGCCACGTTTTAACTTGCCTCTGAAACGTCAAGAGGGAGGGAGGAGATCTGATCTCCTTAGGGAGGGCGTTCCATAGCCGAGGGGCCAACACTGAGAAGGCCCTGTCTCGTCCCTGCCAAACGTGCTTGTGACAAAGGCGGGACTGAGAGCAGGGCCTCCCCAGGTGATCTTAAAGGTTGAGAACCGCTACCCTAAACAGTTTGGATCCTGCCTATTTACGTGACCACATTTCTCCTTATGAACCAGTCAGTACAGGCTCTAAGATCAGCTGGGAAGGGCCTTCTCTTGATCCCACCTCCCCCACAAGCAAAGTTGGTGGGGATGAGGGAGAGGGCCTTCTCAATAGTGCCCCCCTGACTTTGGCATGCCCTCCCTGTTAGGGATTCTTCATCTTCAGAGGAAGAAGGGGAGCAGGGAAGTGCTCAGGAATTAGAGGGAGAAGAAAAATCAGATGATGAAGGTTTGAAAGTGCCCACATTTCTACAGAGATGAAAAGAAACAGAGCACAGACAGTGTTCTGCTAGGATAGCTGCTAAAAACGCTGATCTAATTGGGAGATGCCCTAGTACCTCCTGTGTGGGGAATTCGGGGCTATAAATCAGTAGCAGTAGTCAGCTTTCACTGGTAACAATGACCGTGATACTGCTGTTTTCACTCCAACTATCTAAAATGAGGCTACTCTGAAGCAACAAGGGAGTAGCCCATTTAGCAGCAGGCACACTCATTAGGGAGATAGTGAAGCTGACTACTCATGCTACTGATTTATAGCCCTGAATTCCCCATGCAGGAGTCTCCAAGTTAGCTCAGCGTTTTTATCAGCTACCCTAGCAGAACACCGTTTGTGCTCTCTCTCTTTTCGTCTCTGTAGAAATGTGGTCACTTTCAAACCTTCATCGTCTGAATCTTCTTCTCCCTCTAATTCCTGAGCGCTTCCCTGCTCCCCTTCCTCCTCCGAAGATGAGGAATCCCTAACATTCCCCACGGAAATTAGACGGCAATAGTATGATAGCTGGGATCCCACACTACTCTGCTTGCACAACGCGGGTCTGAATTAGGGGAACATGAGCGCAAGTGAGCACACCGAGTGAGACGCAGTCGCGACAGAGTTGTTTCAATGGAAAGAAGGATAAAAAGGAGGGGGGAAAGATGACCAATGGAAGGAAGGATAAAAAGGAAAGGGGAAATACTGTTACATTACCTCACCCTTATCCTGTCTCTCACACGCTCCGCTGTCTCGCGTATGTGTTCCCTTCATTAATTCTGACCAACTAGCGTAGGGCCCCAGCTATCATACTTTTGCCAATTAGACAAGCACCCACGCTCATAACATTCAGGAAGGAGATGAAAACCTGGTTGTTTAAGCAGACTTTTAATAATGGCTAAAAGTATCAAGCACCCAGAAATGGTTTGGGATGTGTAGTTTGAGTATTACTAGTTATTATCCTCACGGCACAGACCTGCTTATGCTTTTTTAAAAAGTAACCTTGTGTGAAGTTCACGTTGATAGTATAATGAAATATACTATGATTGTTTAGTCATCTGCAATCTAAATATTCAGATACATTCTGAAATACAAAATTACTTACTAAAACATTTTGCCCTTGTTTTGTTTAGAGCCTTACCCAGAGTGCCACTAAATATGTTCCCCCTCAGATGCGAAGGTCTGAAGAGATGTTAGATGCAAAGAAGATGGAAGAATTAGAAAGGCTGAAAAAAAGTTTGAAAGGTTTAATTAACAGGTACTCCAGAAATTGTGTTGACCAACTTTGTCTTAGAAAAATATTGTTGTGTTCAACCAACAGGGCTTGAGTAGAACTTATTTTTCATGGCTGCATGTCTAGCACCCCTTTTGCTTTGTCGTTTGGCTTTTCAGAACAAAATTAGTATCTTTCTTCCCTTCCGCTCCATTTGTGTGATGATATGCTAGATTTGATATGAAATATGGCAACTGACATTCAGATGCTCAGCCAGTAATTTTGAAAGAAGCTTATTTATCTCCATAATTATTCTGTGAATGTTAATGGAGCTTAAGAGAGTTTGCAATCTGTATTAAATATTTAATTTCTTTTAACTGTTTTATGATTTTTTTGAGCATTGAATTTTGCTATTGTTAACCGCTCTTGAGTTGCCCGAGGGCTGAGAAGAGCGGTATACAAATATAGTAAATAAATAAATAAAATAAATACATGCAATTTATCACAAATGAGGCTGGGTTCTATAGGTGTGTTTCACCTGAGGAAAATAGATTTAAATACATATACAGTATGTTTATTCAAAGTTGCATCTGATCATCCTTAAATCATAACTAGGATCTTGTAGCTCTCCAGAAGTTTCAGGACTGCCACCTCAGCATTAGCTTGCAATCTTAACAATGTGTGGAGGACAACATGATTCCCCTCTCTACTTTGAAAGTATAAATATACATTTTGGAGATGCTATTTAATTTGACTGGATAATATTGATGAAACAGAATATTAAAGCAGATATTTTAATGTGTTTTATATTTGTTTCCTGTTAGGTTGAGTGAGCCAAATCTAGCCTCCATAAGCGGGCAATTGGAGGAGCTATACATGGCCAACAGCAGAAAAGATATGAATGAAGCACTAACAGATATTCTCATTAGTGCCTGTGTTACGGCAGCTGTCATGCCATCCAGATTGGTGATGGAGCATGTTCTTCTGATTAGCATCCTTCATCGGACAGTGGGAATTGAGGTAGCTGTTCTTTTTAGTTCTCAGTATTGGTTGGCGCAGCAGGATAATTGCCTTTTCTAGTAGATGTATCATTTGCGGTGCTAATTATCATCTTTTTTCAATTGTAAGACACCAGTGATTGTAAAACGTGCCCTAATTTCAGTAGAACCACCACCAACAAAAATATATAAGATACACCTGCAATTCTAAGATGCATCCCAATGTTATAGATGTTTATTTAAGAAAAAAAGGTCAGGCTTAAAACTGAAAAAAATACAGTAGGTTCTGCTGTTTATATCACAGCATTATGGTAATCAAGGGCATTTTTTCCTAATTTTAAAAACCGTTTTGATCAGCACCGTTCTACGTATCATTTAGCACAATAGCGGAATAGAAATTCAAAGAAAGTAAACTGCTTAGCAGATCCCAAACATATGTGCTGCATAGACTGTTGTTGCAAAACAATCCCTTATTATAGTCATCGTTCTCAAGGAGTAGGAAGAGAAAGATAATGACCTGGATAGAGTAGCCGGTCTGAGTCCCTCTACGGAGGGAGAGAAGGTTGGGATATAAAAGTTTTAAATAAATAAATAAATAGTCAAGGTAAGACAGGCCCAGTGTTGACTCATTCTCCTCACTCTCCTTCATCTCCTTTCTCACTAACATCCACAGTCCATTATTATCTTTGAAAATGAGTTGGAAGTGTCATGGTGCTCCCAAAAGTTCTAATTGTTCAAGTGCGGTTGGTGGGGACGAGAGAGAGGGTCTTCTATGTTGTGGCTCCCCATCTCTGGAATACTCTTCCAAAAGAGATTAGGTTGCCCACCACACTTGAATCCTCCCGATCCAGCTGAAAAACATATTTTTAAGCAGGCTTTGGGCCTCGAGTAGGCTGAAATGGACCCATATGAGGTTGACATTTAGTTGTGAATTGATAGTTTTAACTACAAATGGTCTGTGTTTTAAAATGGTGTTATTTTATTTTTATATGTGTTGATAGTTGTTTCTATCATTTTTATGTGATATTGTTTTATACTCTTGTACCATTTTTGTTATGCTGCACTTGTAGTACCTTATAAGCCACACCGAGACCCTTTTAGGACATGCTGGTGGGATATAAATAAAGTTTATTATGATTTATTATTATTACAGCACTCTTGAGCTTCACTTTGTGAAGGTGATGAGCATGGAAATTCTCCGAGTCCTACCACTGGCAATTTTACTACCTTCAATCCTGAGTTGTGTGTCTCTGCTTCATGGGGTTTCCTTTTGCTTCTTGTTCTGTCTTGGGGGCTGTTCCGTTTTTCAGTGGGACAGGATGGCACTGGTGTGAGGAGGGCAAAAGCAACAAGAAGGGATGGTAGCAGCTGCTCCTATGGAAGTGGCCTCATCAGTTTTGGGCTTTGTAAGGACTTTGCACTCCCCATTAAGCACAGAACCACTGAGGCTGCTAGCAGAAAACAGCAACCACGACTCCTTCCTGTTGTCCTCACGCTTCTGTCATCACAACCATTCCTCTCAATGCCATGCCTCCCACCTACTTTGTCTTTAACCCACCAAAATCTGAGACTTGTGCACTGTTCATCTTTACTCTTCCCTCCCCCCAAAAGTAAGTTCTGAACTGGGTTCCTGTGTGACCTCACACCTACCTGTGACAGGTATTAAGAAACTACCTTTATTGCAAGTAAGATTGTCCTGTTTTCTGTAACTACCATTTGCAAGCATGCTTACTAAAAGCCTTTCAAATTATTCTAATGAGCAACTGTGTCATTGACAAAAAGAACATTCTGTGCACTGATGCAGGAATCGGTAGTGTTATACTAGTCCTCCATCCTATATCTGTCCTTCTGTGCCTTCCAAAAAGCTGGTCAGCAAGTTTTAAAGCAACAAGATTAGTTGCACACTGTTTTGTTTTATTTTTAAACTGTTAAATGCTTAGTAGGTCATTGATCATTTGTATGTTAACTGTTCCAGGTCGGTGCTCACTTTTTGGAAACCGTGGTGAGGAAATTTGATGAAGTCTACAAAAGTGGGACTGAAGGAAAAGAATGTGAGAACCTGCTTACCTTAATAGCTCATTTGTATAACTTTCATGTAGTGCATTCGTTGCTGATCTTTGACATCTTAAAGAAGCTTGTTAGCACTTTTTCTGAGAAGGATATTGAACTAATGCTGCTGCTACTGAAAAATGTGGGCTTTTCCCTGAGGAAGGATGATGCCCTGGCACTGAAAGAACTTATCACGGAAGCCCAGAAAAAGGCAAATGCTGTAGGGAAGCAATTCCAGGACCAGTCACGGGTATGAGTGATTTTCTTACTTGTGTGTGTGTGTTGATGATGATGATGATGATTATTATTATTATTATTTATCATATGGCAGGAGCTTTTGTTTCTTTGTGATTTCTCAGTACCATGTGCATGATGACATCATAGGTGGGGTCTGTTCACTAACATTTCCTTGGAATCCAGACTTAAGCCTTTGCACTTTCATGTAGTTATATATGTTGTTATATATGAGGAATACAGTCAGCCTCCTACATTTGTGGAGGTTAAAAGTACAGGAGCCCAGTAGAAGTGAAAAACTGAATTAAAATTGCTTTATTTTCGGCTTACTGTGAGCGTTCCAGGCTGTATGGCTATGTTCCAAAAGCATTCTCTCCTGACATTTCGCCTACATCCATGGCAGGCATCCTCAGAGGTTGAGGGGTCTGTTGGAAACTAGGCAAATGAGGTTTATATATCTGTGGAATGTCCAAGGTGGGAGAAATAACTCTTGTCTGCTTGAGACAAGTGGGAATGTTGCAAATGGCAATCTGGATTAGCATTTAATTGCCTTGCAGCTTCAAAGTCTGAAATCCTTGGAATAAAGCAGACTAATGCAACCTGAGAAGTCAGTCATAACAGAGCACCTGATGAACCAGCCCGGACACAGCATATTATTGGAGAACACAGAAATGCTGGACCACTCTAACAACCACCATGTCAGACTACACAGGGAAGCCATTGAAATCCATAAGCATGTGGACAATTTCAACAAAAAGGGGGAAACCATGAAAATGAACAAAATCTGGCTAAAAGTATTTTAAAAAACTCTAAAATCAAGTCAGTAAATAACGAGCAATACTCAAAGAGCAGGGGAATTCCAGACATGAATCAGTCAGTGCCAGCTAACACCTCTCAACAAAGGATTCCACCAGACAGCAACCAGCAAGGCTTCCAAGCTGCACGTCCATTAAATGCTTCTGGAACATGGCCACATAGCCTGGAAAACTCACAGCAACCCAGTGATTCTGGCCATGAAAGCCTTCGACAACACATTTAACACATATCTGTTTCTCAACACAAGAATTGGTTGAAAAACAAAATCCTATATTTAGATCAGGATTAAGGGATGTGTGGCTTTTCAGATGGTCTTGGACTGACTCCCATCATCCCTCACCATTTGCTCTGCGAACTAGTGTTGAGTGGCAGTTTATCAATATTTGGAAGGTTACATGTTCCCCAGCCTTAGTTTAGTCATACATTATGGCATTAAAATTATCCGAATACAGTATATGTGATTTGGTTCCTCCCAGCAGATCTGATCGCTCCCTGGAATGTCAATGAATTGCAGGTTTTTTTATATCTCTGAAGAAGGTACAAGACTCTTCATAAATCAGTCAAAACTTTTATTTTGTTTGGGAGTTTTTAATATTCAAGACTGGTATAAAAGAACATTTTAGATTCATTCCAGTTGTTCATTTTTATGTTAAGTTCTAGAATAACAGTGCATGCTTGTCTCTCTTTCAAAAGGTTCGGTTTATGTTGGAGATAATGCTGGCACTAAAAAATAATGACATGAGGAAAATCCCTGGTTATGATCCTGAGCCTGTTGAGAGATTACGAAAGCTGCAGAGAACTTTGGTAAAGGAGAGAGAAAAATATATGGCATATTTTGTTTTTGATACATTTTAAATGAAATCTTACATTAGTAAAAACTGATGTTAATTTTGGACCTTTAGGAACTATTAACATAGATCAGTTAGCTATCCTAGTAAAAGGAGGTTTGGCTTGCAGGAGAATAGACTGTTGGGAGAATGGGCTTATTAACAAAAGACCCTCCTCATAAATTCACAACAGAGTAACTTATTTGCAGTAGTGTCACCCAGCACCAACAAAAACACATAGACCAATATTATCTCTTCCATAGTAGCTCCCGGTGGCGCAGTGGGTTAAACTCCTGTGGCGGCAGGACTGAAGACCGACAGGTCACAGGTTCGAATCCGGGGAGAGCGTGGATAAGCTCCCTCTATCAGCTCCAGCTCCTCATGCGGGGACATGAGAGAAGCCTCCCACAAGAATGCTAAAAACATCAAATCATCCGGGCGTCCCCTGGGCAACGACCTTGCAGACAGCCACTTCTCTCACACCAGAAGCGACTTGCAGTTTCTCAGGTCGCTCCTGACACGACAAAAAAAAAAAAACTTCCATAGGAGGCTTTTCTTTGTAGTAAAATAATATGATTGCACTATTTACAAGAACAAAGTTTCCAGAACAAATAAAGTTCTTTATACTTCCTTCTTTGCTTCCACACTGAGCTTCTTTCTCATGCAAATAAACAGCAAAGTTCTCAGAGAATCTCTTCTCACACCGAACTTACACAGGAGCTTCTCACGGTAGCTTTACACACAGCAGCCTTCACACTGAAGCTTTACACACGATGGCCTTCAACCTGGGGCTCCTCTCACCAAAACTTCTCACACCAGGCCTACTAACACTGAGGCCTGCCTCACACTGAGTGCTCTCTCAAACTGACACCTCTCTCACACTGAGGTGAACTAACACTGAGGCCTCATACAGAGGCCAACTAACAGACTAAGGCTACTAAGCTACAGGCACACCTGCTTAAATTGAACTGCAGCTTTTGCTGAATCATTGTATCCATTTAACCCTTTCAGTCCTTGACTCACATTTTTGTAATTAAAAATACCTAGCAATACTTGTTATATTTCTGACATAGACTAATGAGTTTGACAACTGAAGCAACTGAAGTTCAAGTAAATGAACCTTAGATCTTCCACTTGCTTTAGTGGTATAAATGATGACCTTATTTTGTGGTTCAGTGCTTAGTTACAGAGCTCCTCATTTAAGAACTTCCTTCCTGAATGCAACTTTTTCCCTATTAGATTCACAGCAGTTCTGGAAAAGAAGCACAGCTTCGTGTGTCCCTGGAGTCCCTCCTCAGTGCTGATCAGGTCGGTCGCTGGTGGATTGTGGGATCATCCTGGAGCGGAGCACCCATGATTGACAGCCCTAGTGACAAAGTTCAACAAGTACTTCCTGTAGGAAAGGTAGTTATGATGAGCACTAATCCAAGCCCTGAGACCTTTCTAACACTGTGACTTCAAACAGTTTCTCCAAATAACCTTTTAACTGCCGGGATTTATTTTTACATCAATACAAATGAGGATGCTTGTGCTTGCTTTGCTTAAGAATGTATTCCTGTCTCAAAGTATTTGCAACTCAACTTTAGTTTCCTAACATGTTTGTTCTTGTTCTGTGCCTTCAAGTTGGTTTCCAATTTACAGAAACCTTAAGACGGATGTGTCAAACCCAAGGCTCGCCATGTCATTTTATGTGGCCCTCCAGATACTGGACCACAATTCCTGTATTCCTTATCATGAGACATCATGACTGGGGAGTATGGGAGTTGTGATACAGTAATATCGGGAAGGATGCAGTTTGTTCTGTGTAGTCAGGATAGTGGAGTTTGGCTTTAGACACATGTGGCTATGATGCCATCATGGTCACATCATGGAAGAGAACAGGGCACACTGTCCTTCTCATCCAGTTGGTAGAGGAAATTGCAGAACTGATCTCTAGCAATTTTACACATCTCTATTATATTAATTCATAAACTACTAAATTACTGAAACACTTCTGAGATATGCTGTTTAAACTACATGCTATTTTTACTCAAATACCATAAAACACAGTACAATAACATCTAGGGACCCAAATTGGGTAAAAACTAAAGAGCACGCACCACTATGAAAAATATCAGTCAGGTGTCTGTATCCAGATTCTCAGTCCATGGGTTCAACTGCCTTTTGAAGGCTCTCGAGATTGAGTTTGACACCTTTCGTCAAGGGGAGTCTATGAGAGGGTTTTCTGAAGTTTGAGAAGTAATGAGTTTTGAGCTCATCTTTACATCTTGATTGTTTTCTGTCCACTAGAACAGAAGAATATGCCATCTTTCTCTCTTCTTTCCAAATATTCTTTTCCAAGGGCTCAACCCAATCAATACATCAAACAGGACACAAAAAGTTGAGCATCAGCTCATTAGCAAGCAGAGCAATAAAAAAAACAACAAAAAAGTGGGGTTTTTTTAAGGAAAGTAGTGTTGGTTTTGGATCATAAACATGCTACTGGTTGACACTCCCACTCAAAATAAAAGTGTCAAGCTTGGGCACAATTTTAGAAACTGAGTGGTCCTAAAAAGTGCCCTTTTAAAAACAGTTGCTAAGCCCAGTGTTGGGATTTACTTGCATTTACAGTGGTGAAGTAACTTTGAATGTACATAATGTTGAAATTCAACCCCACACTGCCTAAATCCTCAATGAGGAACAGTTTAGTTCGCTTAGAATAGACTAAGGGTTTCCCTTCCCCCATGTCTCCTGAATGACAGTTGGGAATGTATCTTTTTCTTCTCTCTTTCTGCTCTCATTTAGGTTGGTTGTTTAAAATGGATGCTTTTCTACTTTTTGAATCTGACTTCTGCCTTATACTTTTAGTATGGAGAGTATGTGCTGTGTGCTTTGAGATCTCTCTCTGCTTATGTGTCAGGAGAGATATAGTGATTTGAGTTTTTTCCTCTCCTTGAAACCTAAGAAGAGATTGGTATTATAGTAGCTCAGATTCAATTCTTGATTATTAAGAAATGCAGTTATTTCTTATTATTGTAAATAAACCTTTTGTGATGTTTAAAGATTGGACTCTGCACATTTGCCTCCTACGCTCTGAATTCTTTACAGCCACTTCACACGGCACATCACGCTCTGCTTGCAAATGAGCTGATGCTCAACTTTTTGTGTCCTGTTTGTTTTTGGATGCTCTGCTGTATATTTTAGGGTAGTTTTCCCTAACATATCATTCACCTAGGAAATGCATATTTTAAGAATATAATGTGCTATAAATGTATAATTCTGAACCCTTTCCTTCCTGGAGGTGAGTTCAAAGATTCTGGATCTTGCCCGTAAACAAAGAATGAACACAGACATCAGGAGGAATATATTTTGTATCTTGATGACGAGCGAAGACTTTTTGGATGCCTTTGAAAAACTTTTGAAGTAAGTAGTCACATGTATAAGACTAGCCCAAGAATTAAACTATTATTTGAATGTGGAAAAAAATCTATAAAAGATTTGCATATTTCTCTATTGCATTCCATCCCATTCACATTCGCACACTTCTGTAAATATTCTTTATATTTTGAAGCCTGGAAGTAATGCCAGAGCATTTTTAAGGTAACTGTTTTGGTTTAAATTTGCTACATATTTAGGGAATTTCAACATTAGTCCTTCTGCTTACTTGTAAAGTTTAGATCTTGCTCAGCCCATCCATATGATGGTATACAATAAAGTCTGCCTCTTATATGTGTAAAAATGTGTTTACTGCAAGGAAATGTACATGCAAAAGTGTCACAGGCAATGCCCTAAACTCAAATGAGAAACACTGTTAAATGCATTGATTTCTGAAAATGTGATAGAAATTTAAGTCTTAGGCCTCCATGTAAGGTTATGAGCCACTGCTATATATATATAGGTCTTGCTAATGATCCATTTGCCCTGCTATTTGGTTCAGCAGTCAGTGTTTGAATAGCCCCTTGTCTGCCTGTGTTCATTCCCAGCAACTAGATTGGGAAATTAGCTGCCTTACCTTGACCCTTTTAGCTAATGACCTCTTCTGGAGCCATCAGTGGCATTGTTTATTACAAATTGCACATTGTTGTTCCATTGAGTGCACTGAGCCTGGGTATAAAGTTAGACATTTATCTACATTTTAGCAAAATCAGGCCACTGAAGGCAGGCAGGTAGTTCATCTCGGACTCGGAATTCATAGATGAAAGCCTTGTCTTGAAAGGATGCAAATTTTGTTCTTGACACTCTTTGCATTATAATATTAAGCATTTGTCACAATAATTGGCTTCAGTGCTGCCAAGTATGTGACAGCTCTGGAAGCTAAATCAGACTTATTTGACAGAACAGGTACAGCACAAGTTAGGGCTATTCCCTGCCAATGTTTCTTAATCTTCTCCTTTGTGGCCCAGCTCTTTGAGCGAGGAGATGGTTCAGCCTGCCAGGTTTTCTGCTGAGGCAGCCAGTAGAAACTCATTAATGCTGATTATATTTTTGTAATTAGGTTGGTTGAGATCCCCAACACTCTCAATTAGGAATTAGAAAAGCATGCAGAATAGTTTCTGTTCTGTCATCACCCTCTGATAACTTTGGATGATAATAACTCGGAAGCCAAAGGATCTTTTCCCCATAGTTCTTCCGAATACCATAATACTTAATACTAGGTAGCACACAAATTGCCTACTCAACCAGCCCTCGAACCTTTTATAAAATTGGTAGTTGTTCCATAGCTATGTGCAATGTATTACACAGATGTGTTGTCAAAGGCTTTCATAGCCAGAATCACTGGGTTGCTGTGAGTTTTCCGGGCTGAATGGCCATGTTCCAGAAGCATTCTCTCCTGACATTTCGCTCCCATCTACGGCAGCCATCCTCAGAGGTTGAGGGGTGTGTTGGAAAGTCCAGGCAAGTTAGGTTTATATATCTGGAATGTTCAGGGTGGGAGAAAGAACTCTTGTCTGCTTGAGGCAAGTATGAATGTTGCCATTGGCCACCTTAATTAGCATTTAATGGCCTTGCAGCTTCAAAGCCTGGCTGCTTCCTGCCTGTGGGGAATCCTTTGTTGGGAGGTGTTAGCTGGTCCTGGTTGTTTCATGTCAGGAATTCTCCTGCTGTTTGAGTGTTCCTCTTTATTTACTGTCCTGATTTTAGAGGGTTTTTTTATGCTAATACTCAGATTTGGTCCATGTGCTTGTGGATTTCAGTGGCTTCTCTGTGTAGTCTGACATGGTAGTTGTTAGAGTGGTCCAGCATTTCTGTGTTCTCAGATAGTATGCTGTGTCCAGGTTGGTTCATCACGTGCTCTGCTATGGCTGACTTCTCTGGTTGAAGTACTCTGCAGTGCCTTTCATGTTCCTTGATTTGTGTTTGGGCAACGCTGCATTTGGTGGTCCCTATGTAGACTTGTCTGCAGCTTCATGGTATAAGGTAGACTCCCGCAGAGGTGAGAGGATTCCTCTTATCCTTTGCTGAACATACCATTTGTTGGATTTTCTTAGTGGTCTATAGATAGTTTGTAGGTTGTGTTTCTTCATAAGCTTCCCTATGCAGTCAGTGGTTCCTTTGATGTATGGTAAGAACACTTTTCCTTTGGGTGGATCTTTGTCTTTATTAGCTGGGGCTAATAGTGGGAGCTCACCCTGCTCCCCGGATTTGAACTGCCAAACTTTCGGTCAGCAAATTTAGCAGCTCAGTGGTTTAACCCACTGTGCCACCATGAGGCCCCTCCGTCTGTCTGTCTGTCTGTCTGCCTATCTGTGCAAGCTTTGATAGCACAGGGAAGGGTGAACACCCCTGTGGTGTTTACTTTGCTGTCTGTGCCCCTGTTCGGGTGATTTTACGTCACTTTCTGTGAGGTATATATATTTGACTGAAGTTGCACATAAAAACCTACCTATTCCAAATTACAAACATATGTAACTTAAGAACAAACCTACAGAACCTATCTTGTTTGTAACTTTAGGACTCTGTATTTCTGTTAATGTGGATTTTAAACTGCATTGGTTTTTTTAATGTTGTGAGCTGCGTCTCAAGATAAAGGTGGGACAGTGATGATAATAGCGTCTCATGCTGATGGAGGGTAAATTCTGGGCAAAGGGATTTTACATGCACTCAGTCTCCATGTATCTCCAATATGTGCTCCAAAGTGATGCAAAACAGTCCACAATAGTCCTGAACATAACACTGAAAGATAAATCACTTCTTCCCTCATCTTCCAATGAGGTTGTCTTTGTACGAGGATCCCTGTTGGATCCTGAACATTTTATGACACCACATACACACACTCCTTACATGTTTAGAAAGCAAGACACAGTAATACAGTGCAGCATACTGGTCTAACCTTAAACTATTTGGATTTACTTTTTTTTTTGCTTGATTCCTAATAGCATGAACTATGTATGATTCTTAATTTGGCAGTGATTCCTTATTTTATGATGGTTCATTCCAAAAGTATGGATTTTTACATAATGGCAATTGATATTTTAGGCTTAGGCTCAGAGATCAGCAGGAGAGAGAGATTGTCCATGTCCTCATAGACTGTTGTCTCCAAGAGAAGACTTATAACCCCTTCTATGCATATTTGTCTGCCAAGTTCTGTGAATATGAGAGGCGATTCCAGGTAAAGGAAGAATTTTTCTTTCTCTTTACTGTTTGCAACCATTTGAATAAAGATGTTTCTTGGAATAAGTGACATTATCAAATGCCAGTGCAGTGCAACTAAATACATTCTAAAGCAGTGTTTCTCAACCTTCCTAAAGCTGCGACCCCTTAGCACTGTTCCTCATGTTGTGGTGACCCCCAACCATAACATTATTTTCGTTGCTACTTCATAACTGTCATGTTGCTACTGTTATGAAAAATAATGTAAATATCTGATATGCAGGATGTATTTTCATTCACTGGATCAAATTTGGCACAAATACTTGATATGCCCAAATTTGAATACTGGTGGGATTGGGAGAGGGGAGTTATTTTTGTCATTTGAGGATTGCAGTTGCTGGGATTTATAGTTAACCTACAATCAAAGAGCATTCTGAACTTCACCAATGATGGAATTGAACCCAACTTGGCACACAGGACTCCCATGGCCAACATAAATGCTGGAAGGGTTTGGTGGGCATTGGCCTTGAGTTTTGGCATTGTAGTTTACCTACATCCAGAGAGCATTGTGGACTCAAACAATAATGGATCAGCACCAAACTTGGCACGAATACTCAATATGCCAGTGGTTCTCAACCTGGGGTCCCCAGATGTTTTGGGCCTACAACTCCCAGAAATCCCAGCCAGTTTACCAGCTGTTAGGATTTCTGGGAGTTGTAGGCCAAAAACATCTGGGGACCCCAGGTTGAGAACCACTGCAGTATGCCCAAATGCAAACACTGATGGGGTTTGGGAAAAATAGACCTTGACATTTGGGAGTTGTAGTTGCTGGGATGTATAGTTCACCTACAATCAAAAGCATTCTGAACCTCACCAACGATAGAATTGGGCCAAACTTCCCACACAGTACCCCATGACCAACAGAAAATACTATGTTTTCTGATGGTCTTTGGCGACCCCTCTGACACCCCCTCACAACCCCCCCCCCCAGGGGTCCCGACCCCCAGGTTGAGAAACACTGTTCTAAAGCTTAGTTGCATCTAATAGCTACCAATGAGAGCCATAGAGCATTGTCCCTTGGCATCTTAGCAAATACAAATGTTGGAGCAAATCTTTCATGGAGACAAGATGACTGTTTTTGAGAACATGCTTTAACATCTCTTTCTGGTTTTGATTTGACGTTTTAGATGACTTTCCAGTTCAGTATATGGGACAAAATCAGAGATCTGGAAAATCTGTCACCAACTACTTCCTCCAATTTAGTCAATCTCTTGGCTCACCTGTTGAAGACAAAGTCACTCTCCCTTACTGTTTTCAAGGTGAGCAAGATTTACTCATTTTTCAAAAATATTTATTTTCTTTTTTAAAAAAATTCCTGTGTGTTTAGTTATGTAACTTTTTGTGAAAATGCAGATTTGTCCCTTGTTTTCGTCAATATCCATTATTATAGATCATTGCAGATTTAAACAAATCACTGTTGATGACTTTATATCTCAATAAATCTTTACCACTCTATTACCATATGTACTCGAGCATAAGCCGATCAGAATAAAAGCTGAGACACCTAATTTTACCACAAAAATTGGTGGAAAATGCAGCAGCTACTGGTAAATTTCAAAATAAAAATAGATACCAATAGAATGACATTAATTGAGGCATCAGTAGGTTGAATGTTTTTGAATATTTACATAAAATTGTAATTTAAGGTAAGACTATCCAGTTCTGATAAAACCATTATTCTCATCTTCTTCAATGTAAATGTGCTTATGTATCCTTCCAATAATAATAAAATGTGTAAAATAATAAATGTAATAATAATAACAATAATAGAGTAAAATAATAAATGTAATAATAACAACAATAATAAAGTAAAATAATAAATGTAATAATAACAGTAATAACGTTAAATATTAAATGTAATAAAATAATATTAGTGTAAATTAATGTAAATGTAATGATAACAATAATAGAGTAAAATAATACATGTAATAAAAATCAAAATAAATGGAGTAAAATAAATGTCATAACAGTAATAAACAAAGCTAAATATTAAATGTAATAAAATAATATTAGAGTAAAATAATGTCAATGTAATAATAACAATAATAGAGTAAAATAATAAATGTAATAATAATCAAAATAAATGGAGTAAAATAATAATAATAATAATAATAATAATAATAATAAATAGAGTAAAATAATAAATGTCATAGAGTAAAATAATAAATGTAATAATAACAATAATAAATAAAGTTAAATATTAAATGTAATAAAAATAATATTAGAGTAAAATAATGTAAATGTAATAACAACAACAATAGAGTAAAATAATACATGTAATAATAATAAAAATAAATGAAGTATAATAATAATAAATAGAGTAAAATAATAAATGTCATAATAACAATAATATAGTAAAATAATAAATGTCATAATAACAAGAATAAATAGAGAAAAGTAATCAATGCAATAATAATAATAACAACCCAGTAAAATAATAAATATTTTGACTTGAGTATAAGCAGAGGGGGACTTTTTCAGCCTTAAACAGGGATGAAAAACTCAGCTTATTCTCGAGTATATATGGTAATTTGCAATTATGTGTTAGAGAAGTCTTTTTCAGTTGCATTTTTAGAGCCTTGATTCAAATGTATCTCGAATTGTAGAATCAAGCAGCTGAAGTTAGCTTTAGAATGAACTTTTGCTTTTCTTTTGAGAATAGTTTACGGATGATAAATATAGAAGTAGCCTTTTAAACACTGCTTAGTAACTTGTGTTTTTATCTTGACACTGCATTATTTTAACTAGGTAATTGAATTCAGTGAATTAGACAAGCCCAAAGTCCACTTCTTGCGACAAGTATTGTCTGTGCTGCTGCTAAAAACAGATCCAGAAGATCTTAACCACATCTTTGGAAAGTAAGTTCTCACAAGCATTCTGAGTAATATTATTTATATGGCATGGGCAAACTTGGGCCCTCCGGGTGTTTTGGACTTCAACTCCCACAATTCCTAACAGCCTACTGGCTGTTAGGAATTGTGGGAGTTGAAGTCCAAAACACCTGGAGGACCCAAGTTTGCTTATACCTGCTCTAGAACCTTTTGTAATCCTGAATTGAATTCCAATGAATTCTTCGTTTTGTGTGTCTTTCCAGATTGGCCGACAACCCCAAGCTAGGAATGCTTCAGGAGGGTCTGAAGCTTTTCCTCACCCACTTCTTGCTCAAGAGTGTACAGTCTCATAGAAGTGCTGAAGGAGCCACTCTACTGAGAGAGAGAATTGAACTAGTATCTAAAACTTTGAAAGCAAAAGAATCAAGAGTAAAGTTATAGTATTAGATGGTAACAGATTCATCGGATGAGGACTTAATTGAGGAACATGGACTAAAGTTTTATAATTTTATAATTGTTAATGAATTGGGAACTTCATGTTCTGAACATGGAGCTGGATTCAGTTTGGTATTCAAACCCATCTGTGTATATTTTAAATATATATTAATATATTGATGGTATGTAATGATGGTTATTTTACATTCTGTTAACACAAGGCAGGGACGCCAGTGAAATCTGAATAATGTCAGCAATGTATTTTTAAAAATAAAATTTCACTTCATTTGTAGCCTGATCCTATTATATAGAAAGATTTATATGTGATCTTTTAAAATATATAAGTACCATTCATATAAGCCGACCCAAATATAAGCCGTGGCACCTAATTTTACCACAGAAAACTTATTAATGAGTATAAGCTGAGGGTGAGAAATGCAGCAGTTACTGGTATCTAAAAAAATAGATGCCAATAAAATTACATTAATTGAGGCATCAGTAGAATAAATGTTTTTGAATCTTTACCATATTTCAAGGAAAACAGTAAACTAGCTCTGTAAGTGGAAAAGTAGGGTCAACAAAAACAATATAGTATCAACAATAACTTAATAATAATAATAATAATAATAATAATAGAATTTAATTTGTATCTTGCTCTGTCTCCCCATGAGGACTCAGGCCGGCTACCAACATAGTAACAGGCAAACACGCAATGCCTATTTAAATGATGTAGAGCTAGATACAGATCTATAATTATATATACTGGCATACTCATTTCCCCCTGAAACATTTGCAAATCTTGTCTCTTTCCATGTGCATTTCCCTCCTGCAATATTTGCAAGCCCTATATATCTATATTCATATCTATCTATCTAGAAATCTCTCTATATATAGATAATTATATCATATTAAAATTACACACACACACACACATATATACAGAGAGATATACAGACCTCTACATATTTATCAATATATAGGATTTGCAGAGACTTGCAAACATGTGAGGGGAAAATTCATATTAAAAATGTTATATATATATATAGATATAGATATAGATATATACATACATATACATACATATATATACATACATACACACACACACACATATATATATACATACATACACACAGAGAGACATACAGATCTCTACATGTTTCTTGATATCTATAGGATTTGCAGAGACTTGCAAATGTGGCGGGGGGGATTCATATAAAAATAATGTATACATATAGATACAGATATACAGGTACATGGAAATCTCTAAATATCTGTATGTATATAGGATTTGCAAAGTCCTGCAACCATATGAGGGAAAAACTTCCAAGGGAACAAAAATGTATCTATAAAGTTAATACATTTAGATACACACACACACAAAAAGCCATATAAAAATAATGTATACATATAGATACAGATATACAGGTACATGGAAATCTCTAAATATCTGTATGTATATAGGATTTGCAAAGTCCTGCAATTATATGAGGGGAAAACTTCCAAGGGAACAAAAATGCAACTATAAAGTTAATACATTTAGATACACGAAAAAAAGAGCCAGGAAATTGTGTGGGTTTGAAAGAGAGCCATACGAACAAGGAGGACATGAAATATATCTCATTTCCCTCCTTCGTTCCCTTTTGACTGGAAAAGAAAACACACTATTAAGGGAGGTGAAGAGGAGAGAAAAATATATATTGCAAGCAATGGCCTCAAGGTTCTGCTGCCTGGCTTGACCCCATCATAAGCTGAGGGAGGCTTTCTTGGCTCAATTAAAGGACTGAAAAACATGCCTTATCTTTGACTATACATAATATATTAGCTAGATACATTGTTATCAATGTACAGCTACATTTGCTGTCGTTAAGGTCACAGGAAAGGGGAAAACCAGGAATATTGATTTTTTTTAACCTGAGAGAATACCTCTCCAGGAATTTAATAAAATCTACAAAAGTGGAAACCACAAATGTGGAGGTACGGCTGTACTTCTGCCTAGACCTCAGACATTTAGAGAACCTTAGCCAGGCCTGCATGTGCAAACAGGAGAAAGATGCTGAGTGTCAGCACGGAACTATTATCATGGATTTCAGCTCTTAAAGAAAGCCGGACAATGAGACATTAAACCCCTATTCTGGTTTTTGGATTAGCATTAACAAGAGAACACAAAGAGATCTGTTTTGTAGCTTGGGATAAAGTGTGACAGGGATAAATCACACGCATATTCCCCCTTTGGCAGAGCTTTCTCGCTGCAGCACCTGAGAGCCCTGAGCTTCTGCAGGCCTCTGGTGGCATGGTGTACTTTTTTCCATGGTGCAACATGAAGGGAGAGTATGGGTTGGAGATCTGCACTTCTCCCCAACACACTAATATGTCAGTATGGCTGCCCCGCTTTGCCTTTGGCAGCTGAACATTGTTCTTCGGACATCTGGAATAGTTTGAATGGTATTGTTCAAGAGAACCTGATACTTTAAAGCTGTCAAAAGCTGGGGGTCCAAACTGCGCCCGGGACATTTCTCTGGGGATGATTTGTATGTCAAACACAATCCCTTAATAATCCCATGCTGGATTCTTCTATGCCTTTGGTGCAAGTCCTTACTTGTGACATACAACTGATGCTGCTGCAAATATGTTTTCTGTCGAGAAATAAACCTGAAGTTTGAAAGCATTTCAGAGCTTTTGTTTGGAAATGGCAAACTAAATCCCTTTTTACCTGAGGCTACAAATTTCAGAGACCAGAGATATATTTCCTCCTCTAGTTGTATTAGGAAAGAAGTCAGCCATTAGTAACTCCGGCACTATTTTGGTGTGATAGGCACGTTAAAAGTCCTGCTCGGGGATTTGAAATATTCAAAGTCAAGTCCCTAAAGTACCATGAAATGCACCTTAGGCCTCTCACTTGACCTTGGGCAGGAAAGTCCTATATACTAATTATGAGCTCATTGATGAATGCAAAAAACAAACAAATCTAAAGCATTGGTTCCCAAACTTTCGTCCTCTGAGTGATTTGGACTTCAACTAGAAGCACCAGTTAAGCGATCCCTCATTGTCCGAGTAAGATTGTTCTCTAAGATCGGTGTCCTGGCGGTGGGTACGTAGGTGACTGAGCCCTATTCTTGACCTGCATGTTCTCCCGCAGTGGGGGCATCAGTTTCCAGGTGGAAGGTGGTCCCGGTTGGGGTTGGCTTGACGCACCTTCCTCTTGGCCTGTTTCTTCTTTCTGCTGCCATTCGAGCCTCTTCAAATTCTACAGCACTGCTGGTTACAACTGACCTCCAGCTAGAGCGCTCAAGGGCCAGGGCTTCCCAGTTCTCAGTGTCTATGTCAGAGTTTTAAGGGTTGGCTTTGATCCCATCTCTAAATCTCTTTTCCTGTTCTCCAACATTCTGTTTTCTATTCTTGATCACCAGCCAACTATATCAACTGTCAAAAATTCTGGGAGCTGAAGTTAGCCCTGCTCACTGTTTACCTAAGCAGTTCGAAAACAGCTTTAGCTGTAATTAGAGAAATTAGGTACCACTAAAAGCGGGGAAGGTGTTTTACAATCGCATAGAAAAAGAAGATCAGAAAATGATGGGTGACGAAATGGAAGGAGGAAGTCCTGACGGCTCTTTGTCATAGAGGATGGAGCAACAGCACCCCCTATGACTGGACTCAAGCACAATGTTCCACGGCACCAAAACAGCTGGACACTGAGTGGAAACAACATACCTCTTTCTGTTCTGTCTGTGTATTGTCTATAAAAAGCGGCATCGAATGTTTGCTGTGTATGTGTACTGCGATCTGCCCTGAGTCTCCTTCAGGGTGAGAAAGGCAAAATATAAATAAAGTGTTGTTGTTGTTGTTATTTGTGATCTACTAAGACTCCTAAGTCCCTTTCACATGGATTGTTTTCAAGCCAGGTGTCATCCATCCTATATCTGTGCTTTCCCCCTTTCATCTGCAAACTTAACATACTTTTAAATTTTCTGTCATGTATAAACACATACTACATGTGAAGTTTACAGCCAGAATGGAACAGAAACTTGGAATTCTGACTAATCAGTGGCCATCATTTTTATCATCTGTAACTAGTATGGCTAACAGATCTCCAACTATGTCTTGGGCATCATAATGTCTATTTTTGAATCAGCAAATTGTTGGAGATGCAATACTGCTAATGCTTCTTTACTGCATATATTTTGGAGTTGTCCCATTACAGCTATTTTTTTATTGTTTCAGAAGTGACTTGAGAAGCTTCTTATACCAGAAGCTTGAGAAGCTTCTGGTATGAGAATCATAGACTCATAGAGTTGAAAGAGACCTTGTGGGCCATCCAGTCTAACCCCCTGCTTAGAAGCAGGAAAATCACGTTCAAAGCACCCCAAACAGATGGCCCTCCAACCTCTGTTTAAAAGCCTCCAGAGATGGAGATAATTGTCCGTCTGCAGAAACGTTACCCAGCATACTCTCGGATGTGTTACCATCCTTTGGGAGGCTTCTCTTATGTCCCCGCATGGGAAGCTGGTACTGACAGAC